AATAAAATCCATCCTCCAAACCCACTCTAGTGTGTGGAAACCACCATAAAAATCCTCTTTTTTCCTGAGATAAAAGGGATGACAAAAAATTAACCCCCAAAATACATATGTATCTTTGAAAAGAGAAGGGAAGGAAGGGGGAAGGAGGATATATTTTATCTGTGTCTGCTGGCCTGGAAAATAAATACTGCTGTTGTGCAACACTGCAGCTGCTCACTCTCTCAGTTTATTGTTTTCATTCCGGTTTTTATTATTTAATCTCATATCCTTACAGTTAATCTGAAAAGGATTCAGGCAGCTTTATTCATTAGTCTTGCTTCAAATCATGATCTTATAGATCATGATCATGATATGAAGAACTAATTCTCTTTTTTTGACATGGCTCACCCTCTGATAGATGCAGCAATAATAAATTGACTCATGAAACATGAACACAAAATTTCTCACAATATTTTCCCTTTTTCTTTTTGCATTGAATCTCATGAAAAATATCCTTGAGGAGAGCTTTTCTTACAGTAATAGAATGCATGACAAATATATATTGTAAATTCAAAGTTAACTTTCTCAAATTTTGGAAAGCATTTTGGACTCCATACAGGATGGATTAGGGGAAAAAAAAGGGGGAAAAAAAACCCCAAAACACTTAATCATTCACATGTACCTGAACTACATAACATCATTTCAAATAGGCATTAGATTAGAAATAGTTGTCATCATTATCTTGCACTGGGAAGACGCATGGGTTGTTTCCTACTTCAGGAGAGCTATTGCTTAGAAAGGATTGTGAAATGCTACATATATAGAAAAGACATTTGTGAAGCAACACCTCTGGAATGCCACAAAAGATTTACAATTTAAAACAATGAATTCATATATGTGGAAAATGACTGAAATGTCTTTACAATGGATCCTACCAAGAGCAAGAAAAATAATTATTTTACAACTCAAGCATGGCAACGCCACCTAAAGATCTAACAACTCAGGCACAGAATGACACATAAAAAAGCTTTGTATCAGCATTAAGGCTCCCTGTTCCCCGGCTTTTATTATTAAGATGTTGTACACATTTTAATAGGACATTATAAACATTTGCTTTGGCTTAGGCTTTGGAATGAAGGAATCAACCATTTCACAAGCTGATTGCCTGCTACAAAATGACTGAAAAAAGATTATATCTATTCAAATAATTTTGCTGCTAGAAAGAAAACACGATGTATTGAATGATGAGTAGCATAGGTCTTTGGAACAATAGAGTACATGAATGCTTTTGATCAAAATAAAATAAAAAGGACCCTTTTGTATAATCTACAATTAATGTGAAATTGGATAGTACAAATCAAAGAACTGCAGTGCATACAGCCATAAATCTACCATCTGTGCACACCAGACCTCAGAATGGACCTTCTGAGTCTATGGATTACATAGAGTACTATTTTGCATTTCTTTGATTCACATCATTTGGCAGTTTTCAGGGAGTCTAGCGTTATACTACATCAGCATCCATACTCTGCTCATAAGGTTAAACCTGTGAAAACCACTGCATATGGTTACTTCTCAACTGCCCTTAGTACGAAACCTCCACGCAACACAAATTATGCTAGTCTCACCTCAAACAATGTCAAATATAAGATGGTCAATTACTGAAAGTAATCTAACACTGGATCCTACAGGGTGCCTGCTGCCTCTGCCTTCTCCATGGGTTTACCACGCAGAAAGTAGTAAAAGCACTGTAAGGCAGATTATAAATACTGGATATGAACTAGAAAAAAATTTAATAATGGAAAACTGTTCTGCTGGTGGTAAGTACAACTTGCTCCTGAATAGTATTTGACTTCTCTTTTCTTTCGTAATGGATCCAATATAAGAAAAGCGTCCTTGGACAATGTGTATTCCAAAATCACCCCAGACTTCTTTAAGGCAACAAATTTCAGATCAGTCAAAGAAGATCTATAATCAAGTACCTATCTGTCTGTCTGAACAGTTTAGGATCTATCGATTGTAAACGGGACTGTTGCATACATCAATGGAACAGAATACTAGTCTAATGGTTGAAACTGAATATTATTTTAATGAGGAATGATATTAGTGAAGAAAACAGGAAAAAATATGGTGAGTACTACTCAAGAATGGAAAAACAAAAAAGCACAACCAAAAAAAACGTAGTAAGGAATGAGACAGAAATGGCATTGAGATTCAAGGAGTGAATGTTGCCCTTTACACTGTGACCAACTTGTCTCCAGATGACCAAGATAAGATATATGATACTTGATATAAAGAACTACGAAGTAATGATTGCTGCCACATCAAAGGAAGCTGCAAACATTCAAAAAACTTCGATAAAAATGACATTTCACCTTTCTATTTGAATCATAAGAACCCAAGTATATAGAGTCTTAGCAATACTTTCTTCACAAGTTTTTTATTGGTTTTAACTTTTTAAATTATTTTTTGTGTCAAAACTAATGTGTTTGGAATGAAAAATAAACAGACAATATAGTTCTCACATTCTACTTACTTCTATTATTGATGTTGTGCAAGATAAGCAACAACCACTTCTAAATATTTCAGACTTTTTTGGTTTTTTCCCTGTTATTTTGGACATTTTGAACTGCCATGTTTTTCTCCTAGAATAGTCTACCATACAAAAGTAGCTCAATTTCTGCATAGAATTAATTTAATAATAGAAAAAAAAGCTGTCATAATAATCTCCCATATAACATGTTTCTCTACTGGCTGGTTCTTTCAGTTAATGTTAAAAAAAACCCAAAACCATAACATGAAGTATTCCGAAAAGAAGACAGAAGGCCAGAAGCCTTTAGGAAAAGTTATATACAATTGCTTGACCAGCATTTAAAGTTTCAGGTGGATAAAATGAGTTTTCTTAACTTGATCAATAATAATAGATTTTAATATTAAAATTATATTAAATTATGAAACATATTCTATGCATGACTGCAGTACAAAGATAATAATATATTATCTTCTCCTCTTAACAGTGGTTGAATGTAACAAAATTGTAAGCTTTGCTAGTATTATTGTTGAGAATAGCAATGGCACCACAGCATATACAGGTCCAAACTTAAGCCCTATCCCCATCCTCGAATTCTGGGATAGTCTCTCTTAGAGATGCTGATATTCTCCTCTAAAAGCCTATTTGACCAATCAGACATCAACTGGCCATCAAGGAGGAGTCTTTTTCATTATCTCCAGCAAAGGAAAGACAGTTAATGTGAAGAACATTAGTGAAGAAAATTATTCAGAAGACCCTCTAACCTTCAGTGGCATGTAATACGTATCATAAATATATTCTAAGCATACCTGTATATGTTAATTAGGGAACACTAGTATTAGTATCCAAATAAAACAGAAAGGGGATAATCACTGAAAAAGCAATCTACATTTAAACAATATGTTGAGTGGAAGTGATCACAATCAGCAGAATGGTTCTGATTTCAAACACAGTCTACATTCTTCCTGTTGGTAAATATTATATGGTCCGTGTTTGTCATACAACTCTGCTTAGGGTAAATGTATATTACATATCTGAATTATATATTTATTTGTAGAACACTCTCTCACTCTATCTTTCTGCATGCATATAATATAAAAACACTTGCAGAGTTAAATTATTGCTGAGAATAAGAAGGGGGGGGGGGGGGGGGGTTTTTATCACATTTTAAAAATCATTCCATTTTCCTGGCAAAATTAGGGGAAAAAAAAGAACCAAAAGATAATCAGCCTCTCTATCTCCTGCTCCTTAGCATCAAGTTAAGCTGCCAGCTGTATTTCTCAGAGACCATGCACATAACTGAGGAGCACTCAGAGCAACAAAGTACTGAACCCATGAACTGAAATCAGGAAAGGGCAACAGGCAGAATAAGTGAAACAAAAAGGGTTAGATTAATTACATTAAATTTATTCCCAAATAAGACCAAAAGTAGGAAATAAAATATGGTAGAATACAAGAGGTGAAGGAAAAGGAAAACAATTTTAATTATATTAGCCATAAAAGATATTATAGCTGTCTAACTTGTTTCAAGCTTGTGGAATAAATATTGTAATGAGGTCATAGCTGGGCGGCAGAGGAAGGCTGCCAGATTATACTGATCCGGCTGCCAAATTCCAAGGCAAGTGGAGGTCTCTGGAGAGAGAGGGTGTCATTTCCATGGAAACACGTGAGCAAGTTCACTCTCTTCTTTCCCTTCCCACCATATTTAAAGTTCTATTCTGGTCTTCCTTAGAAAGAAATTAAATGTATTCAGTGAAACAGTTTTTACTTTTGTGTTCCAGTAAAATGGAGCCACAGAGGTTGAGAGCCTTCTGGTGCCTTTTGGTACAATCACATCAAGAAAAAGGGAGGGAAGTTCCAGCTCCAGCCTCTGGCTAAACCTGGTCCTACTATATTAGCACTGAAACAGCCACAGTTTCAGCCAATGCCAAGTATCACTGACATAAACCAGTAAAGAAAAAACTGTTCATACTAATGACAATAACTAACAGCAAGAAACTGAGAAACTATGAAAAGACTCAGCTCATCACACAAAGATTTCACTGTCTTCAATACTATATACTGCAAGTACTACCAGATGTTTTAATTCAGTAGTCTGAACAGCCACCATCTTCCATTAACCTGCTTTTTTGAGCCCTATTGTGGATTACTAAAATTCTGCTATAAAGATAGTGGCCACAAAAGAAATACGGTAACATTCTGTACAACCCAATGACAATGACTTGACAAAGTTGCAAGCACAGAAACAAGCTCTGTCACACTGCGACTGTCATTTTCCGTGTTGTTTTTTTAATGAGAAGGAATGAAGAATGTATATTGTCCATGACCATCTGAATACAGTAAGAGACTTCTCAGCTGCTGTTTCAAAAAGCCCAGTATCTATTTTATAGGCTACACAATAAAAATAAGATAAAACTTAAAAAGATAAAATTTTGATTTGTAGCATAAATTCAGCAGATCTTATCAGAGTAAACATTAAATACTTTCTTACCTGTCTGACGTTGTGTCACTTGTTACTTGATGCTTTACTCCTGAACCATTCTTAATTGAGTCTTGTCTAGTGAGCCCTTGAGATCTGTTTTTGTCCAAAACTTGTGTGGATATGTCACCTGATGGTCCTTGGTACTGTGAATACTCCTGCAGCTTTGCTTTTTTCTCTTGAGGGGCTTCCTCGTTCCGCAGACCTCTAATACCTTCTTGGTCAGGCTGCTGTGGTGCATTTGATCCACTGTTATAGAACCAGGCTCCTGATTTTGTGAGGATTTCTTGTTGTTTTCGGCACAAGTTACATACCCACATTACCTGTTCAGACATATTTAAATGGAAAATCTGTTAGCTTGTAAACACTGTATACAAAGTTTTCATCAAGCATACAACAACTGATCATTGCCATTTCCAATGGTAGAAAGAATACTATTTTAATTCTTTCTATTAAAATTACAATAGTTTAGCCACAGAACAATAAAATATGTCTGTACAACCCTGGAGGAAATTGTTTTAGAAAAGAATAGAAACACAAAAATACTTTTATTCTACTTTTGCTTCATCATTTATAATACAAGGGAAAACCACAGAGAGTAGCAATATAAATGAAAAGGATCTACCTATTGACATTCCAATGGCTGTAAATGTAAGATTTGAAAATGAAGACTATAGGTTGAGGATGATAGGATGATAGAAAAAAGAAAGAAATTTTAAAATTCATTAAATATTTAACCCATTCTCTTACTGTCAGAGTAATGAACTTTGGAATAGATCCTCTGCTGTTACAAACAAGTAATTTTATAATTATCCAAAATCCTATGCTGACTTGCTTCAGCAGTGGTCTGTATCTTATATTTACATGAAGAAGCTGACTTCAGGAAGTGACTTGATTTTCAAAGCTATTGTATATTAAAGCATTTTATAAACACAATACATAACGTGGTGAGTGTCTCCACTTCACAGCCAAGATTTAACTTTCACGGTATGCTTACTAAATTATTAAAATGATTACAGCTTCCCAGTTGTGAGATCCTGTGTATAGTAATGAGATTTTTTTAACATTCTAAAATGTACTTGCTTGCAAAGCTTTTGTATCTGATCACCTTAGTCACATGGCAGTGCAGTAAATTGCCAGTGCCAATTATCTGTAAGTTAATTTCACATTCAGTTCACATGTTATATGAGAAAAAATCAGGATGTAATGAATCAAATACAACAGGTCAGTTATTAATACAATGGCACATTCAAACTGGTTATAGTGTTATCTTAAAATTTGGATTGTAGATAGCATTAATTCACTGCAAATTTAGTTCTTCACTCCTTAATCTTCGTTTTTCTTTAGCCTTAACTCAGCTCTTCTGTTCTTTATCTATTTTTGTCTTAGTTCACACACAAAATTGTATCATTTTTACTACATGTTCCTTGAATGTCTACACACAGCCTGCAATCCAATTATCATGCCTCCAGTTCTAATCCTACACTGAGCTGCCTCTTTTTCAAGGGTTTACAGTACAGGACATTCAAAGGTTTACATTAATGCTCTTCATTATTCTTTTAAATGCAGCTACCTTGATGGTTGAATCACATGGAAAATGTAGTTTCTACCTCCACAACACATCTAGCTCAGTCCACCAGAAAAGGTTTCAGAAGCTTCAATCTGTATCTTTCTTTTATTCCCCTGGCAGTTATCTAACAGAAAATTTGGGCCATGCTGTCTAGTCAAGTCTGACCAAAAATGTTTTGATGAAAGCTTCATATAGAAGGCAACTTGGATGCAAGGTTCGTACTCAAATTAAACTCACTGACTGCCTCATTCACAAACTGCCAGGCTGGGGCAGGAAAAGGAGGCATCACCTGCCCGTTTAATGGCGGCAATATGCCCCATCCTGGTAAACTTCTTAACCTTTTATAGTGCTGATACTCCATCTTTGAGAACTCATGTCTGCTTATTTCAACAAGACAGAACAAGCTATCAAAGCACTGAGGGTAAAAAAGGGGGACTCCCTGAGAAGCAGCTTGCTGTCTGCAGTAGGTTAGAAGGTCAATACTGTGTATGCTTCAGGCCTGGCCATCATTCAAATACAAATGTAAGAACAGGGTCGTTTTGCCTTTGCTAATTAAGTTAGAAAGTACACAAAAGCTCCAAACTGAAATTTCAGCCCCACAAACAGAAGTATTTTTGCCCTCTTTACTCGATAGCAATTAATAGCCTTTAATATTTCTGCTTGGTTTGTACACAGCTGAAAGAATTTCTCAATTTTCCATATATGTGTCAGCACAACGAAAGGACCAGATCTGAAACAATTATTTAAGTATACAAATATGTAACAATTTGAATGACTGCAAGATAAAATCCCCCAAAGTTTTTGTGTGCTATTTTTTCCTTCTATTAGTAGATGCTAAAATGTCACAAAAAGTAGATGTCATAGTCTAAACACTTGAGCAACTACATCCTTGGCTGACAGCCACATTTTGTCCCAGGACAATGCACTCCAGGATGACCGGTATTATTCTTTTGTACCCAACAGAATGAGTTCATCCTTCTGAATGAACACGATTTAATATCTCCTCCTCTAAAAGTAGAATCAGGAAGAGCACTCCTGACCTAACCTCTTCCCCGTGACACACAAAATTTAGCGATCTGTTTCAAAATAAATCTCAGCTCCTGCCACACTAGGTAGACAATGATGTACAGCAGAACAGAGCAATGCAATTGTCAGTGCCGTGAGACCCATATGAGGCAAGCAAACAATTTATGGTAAAAGTTTGATCAAACCCACTCCCTGATTAAAGATGCGATGCCTGCCTTTGTTATCGCTATCTACTGTATCATCATCTGGTATTTTATTTCCAACTCTACATCTTGGAAGCTGTTTTTCACTGACTGTCAGTGACACTTTAAGGAAGACATCATATTATCTCCCAGGCCCTACTGAAGTCAAACTGGTTCCAACTGTTTCCATTGTGCAATGTTTCTTACAGACTACCAAAGTAATTGGGTCAGGCCTGCAAGAAACAATATGAGCACCTAAACTGAATGCACCTCATGAAACAAAGAAATTTTTTTTAAAAAAAAAGAAAAATTTACTTAAGGTATTTCATGTTGAAAACAATTTAAACAACTGCATGAAAAATGCATATATTTGTGTACTTTGCAGAATTTTTCTGCCTTTCTAAGAGTGTTTCATAATATTTATAGCTAACACTTCTGATAAAGCCTTATTTCCAATGTAATTTCAACATGCAGACTTCTATAATGTTGACCCAAGCAGTTATAATTTTAGCTTCAAATAATCACACACAATTAGCAGAACGGCAGCTGTCACACAGACATAGAAATTTATGTGCTTTCACTGAGCACCAAGAAACTTGAGCCCTCGATTAGTACAGGGCTAAACTGACTTCTCCGTCTTATCGTAGCATGTAGAAGCATGCTTGCAATTTAAAAAATACTGGTGGTTTACAATGCAGACCTCTCAATGAAATGACAGACACACATGTTAAGATAGTGTCGTAAGAGCACAGACGAGAAGGTGGCATATTCCACCTTCTGAATATGTCTCCTTCTGCCCCCAGGGTCCTGCAACAGAGTGCTCAGCTCACACACACGCAGAGCAGCTCCGTCCCCACCAAGTCGCCACCAGGACAGAGCATTTCATGTGACAGTGACAGCAGCACAGCGGAGAAGGGAAGGGGAGACTACACAAGTGGATCGCATTTGGACACATCTGCAAAGAAGAACCACAGAAGTTTCCCTTCTAAAACAGTAATTAAAAAAGGGCTAATCCCTTACATCAGAAATCTGCACTCTAAAGTAGGCATGCTACCTACTGCGCCCATTTTCAAATCTCCTAACCACCACTCTGAAGAGTTCAACAGTCGTGCATACGTTTTGTACACGAACATCAGTGTTGCAATTTGTGGGTGTCAGTTCTTCTCAACATGGGAACACGGCCAGCTTGAAAAGAAAAAAATGGACAAAAGTCTGATCTCCAACATGTCTAATTGTTATTTAAGCACTAGTTTAAAACTAGAATCTAAAGTGCGAGTGGTACTGCATCGAGATGTGCGTTTCAGTACAAAAGGCTGAAACACCACCTAGTGCCTCGGATAAGAATTGCTGAAGTTCTTTTCAAATAAACTTCTCCTGTGAAGTGTGAAAATAACCACACAAAATATATCTAGCCTGACATTTTCATATTAACTCTTAATTTGTTTTTTTAAGACAATTTTCTTTTTTCAGACAACACTGAAAAGAAGTATTCCAAATTTGGATTAAAAGATTTACCTCAAACCTTCTATGTGCTTTCTAGTCACAGAGATTAATTCAATATGCAGAACAAAAAAGTTCTAAGTCATTTTGGATTTCTTCACCATTCTTTACAAGATTATTCATAATATGCTCTCACTTCTGCTAACACCACCCAAAAGCTTTTGTCACATAATATTAGCACTTTTTATTACATAAGCCCACAAAAACAAATTCTGCAAAACCTGCAATATCCAAATAATCAGCTATTTCACATCTACACATCAGACATCATTAATGTACAAAAAAAATCACTCTTTTGTATTGTCTAAATAAAACATGACAAATTTGTCTATTAGATTAAATTCTTCAAAACACATTTCACAGACCACTTTAAATTCAATAAAATGGAAAAGATATGCATAAAGAAATTACATCTGCAGACATTTTGAAGCAAAAATTATATAATTTAATAAAAAGTATATAGTATGACAATTATTTTAATATTTTCAAATAAATTATGTGAAAAGACAGCTACCTTACAAAATACTATTCACTGTTCCCCTAAGTGTAATTATAGATGGTCTAACACTAACTTCTAAGAATGAAATGGGACTCTTACATATCAGCCTGAGTTTGATAGCTTAGACAGTACGATCTAAGAAATACTTACATCAAATCCTCACCAGCCTTCAGAACATTACTTTGAATTACAGGTGTGCAGAGGTGTAAGGTTTATTATTATGGTTTTACCAAATCTCTTAGAGTTCATCTGCTTGGCAGAAGCACCTAATATGTTAGCATTATATTAACTGTTGTGCTTGCTGCTAGTGTTCTTCAGAAAAAATCACTTGGTTTAAATATGTATGGGGTTGGTTGTTTTTTTTTTTTTGTCCTCATATTTTATGTAAGACACAATTCCTCAAACATTATACAAGGTAACAAGAACACAGCGTTGAAAGGAAGGGGGAGAAAAATGGAAGAGTAGGAAAATTCTTTGCCTGGGTCCTGCATCAAGGTAACTAAGCATGTTTACTAACACACTACAGTTAGTCCCTTTTTTTTT